AAGCGGTCCTGAGAATTGTCAGAGGAGAGGAGGATGCTCAGTGTGTGAATGATACAGTCTTGGTGCTTATTCCAAAGGTCCTTAATCCAACTCAACTCTCTCAGTTCCACCCTATAAGCTTATGTAATGTTATCTATAAAATTGCATCCAAGGTTGTTGCTAATAGGCTGAAGATGATTCTACTGGACATTATATCTGAGGAGCAGTCAGCTTTCGTCCCAGGTAGATTAATCACAGATAACATAATATGTGCATATGAGTGCATGCATTTTATGAAGAGGAACAGAGCAAAGAGGAATAATTTTTGTGCGTTGAAGTTGGATATGATGAAAGCCTATGATAGGCTAGAGTGGCCTTATCTTCGAGCTATAATGGAAAATTTGGGTTTTGCACACTCTTGGGTCCAAACAGTTATGGGTATGGTGCAATCTGTATCGTTCTCGGTATTATTCAATGGTGAGAAGTTGGAGCAATTTACACCGACTAGAGGTATCCGACAGGGAGATCCAATCTCTCCTTATCTTTTCTTAATTGCAGCAGAGGGACTTTCGTGCCTCTTGAAAACTAGTTCTCAGTCGTCTGTTCTGGAAGGAATCAAGGTGGCCTCGATGGCTCCGTCTGTTAACCACCTCCTTTTTGCTGACGATAGCATGTTGCTTTTTAAGTCAAGTGTTGAGGGGGCTATGATGGTTTCAAACCTATTGGACAAATATTGCAGTGCTTCGAGTCAGAAGATCAATAATGCTAAATCTTCTATTTTCTTTAGTAGAGGGTGCCCTCAAGGGGTCAGAGAAAGCATCAAACAATGTCTTAATGTGCACAATGAATCCTTGTCTGATAGATATTTGGGTATGCCCACAGATGTTGGACAGTCCAAGATGGGTACGTTTAAGTACTTGAGAGACAGGGTGTGGGAGAAAGTCAGAGGATGGATGGAGAAGCTTCTGTCAGCAGCTGGAAAAGAGGTTCTCATCAAGTTAGTTGCTCAGGCTATACCAGTATATTCAATGGCTTGTTTCAGATTGCCTCGGGGTCTGTGTGAGAACATTACCTCCATAATCAGGCAATTTTGGTGGGGCAGTAAACAAGGTCGAAGGAAACCAGCTTGGGTCTCTTGGGATGTAATGACGAAGCCAAAGTACCTTGGTGGGATGGGTTTCAGAGACATTGAGATTTTTAACCTATCTCTGCTTGCCCGTCAAGCAGGGAGGCTCCTCGAGTCACCAGAATCGCTGAGTGCAAGAATTCTAAAAGCGGTGTACTTTCCAAATGCTGACTTTTTGGAGGCAGAATTGGGTACCCAACCTTCGCAGATATGGCGAGCTATATTGGATGGTAGGGACATACTGAAACAGGGCATCATTAGGAGGATTGGGAATGGTCAAGGAACGAATATATGGGAGACAAACTGGCTCCCCAGGATAGGCCCTCTGCGACCGATTGTCTCACTTTCAGCGAACCCTCCCACGCTGGTAGCTGAACTAATTGATCATACATCAGCAACTTAGCGGGAGGAGGTGATTCGTGCCACTTTCTTACCCATCGATGCGGAGGTAATCATGGGCCTGCCGCTCTGCACAAGGACGGTGGAAGATTTCTGGGCTTGGTCAGGTGAGCGGAACGGCATTTTCTCGGTCAGATCGGCCTATAGAATGATCCTAAACAAGAAAGAGCACCGAGAGAATTGGCTTTATGAGCATGCAGGAGCGTCGGATTTGTAAGAAAGTTCTAAGGCATGGACGTCGTTGTGGCATACTAGGGTTCCATCAAAAGTTGAAGTCTTTTTATGGCGGCTTGCAAGGCATTCGATGCCGACGACGGATCTTCTCCAACACCGTAATATGTCCACTACTCATTTATGCGCCCTGTGTGGGTGTGAGGATTCATGGAGGCATGCCCTGCTGAATTGCACTATGTCAAGATGCATATGGACCTTAGCTGAAAATTCCTTGACGGAAGCAATGAGCCAGAACGAGGATCCTAATGCAAAAAACTAGATATTTGCAATGAATGATATACTATCCCAAAAAGATTTCGTGCTGCTGGTAGTAACGTTATGGGCTGTATGGAAAGCAAGACGAAAGGCAATATATGAAGGAGTTTTTCAGAGTCCACAAGCAACATACCAGTTTATCCAGTCCTACTTAGCGGACTTGAAAACTATCGAGGAACCAGCTGCAGGTAGCGCAAGGACTCACCGGGCCAGCCGATCGCAATGGATCCCCCCTCCAGAGAACTTTTACAAAATAAACGTTGATGCTGCAGTTGCAAACAATCGGGGACGAGGAGTTGCTGCTGCTATTTGCAGAGATCAAGACGGCACTTTCCGGGGGCATCGTCTATAGTTTTTAAGGGAGTTTGTGATCCTCAAACTCTAGAAGCTCTGGCTGTACGGGAAGCTTTAGCTATTGCTGACGATCTTAATCTTCGACGAGTATTTGTGGCGTCAGACTGCATGGTGGTTTTGGATGATCTCAAGCAAGGAAACAAAGCAAGATATGGTGCTGTTTTACATGAAATCATAGACCATAGCTCTTCTTTCTTAGCGTGTAATTTTGTTCATGAGTTTAGGAGCTCGAATTTCGAGGCTCACAATTTAGCGAAGTATGTTTTGAGATTATGGGTGGGCCGCCATGTTTGGTTAGGACACCCCGGCGATCTCTCTTTTGTACCTACAAACATTGGGTCCGGTTAAATAAAACTTCGCGAGATTGTCTCAAAAAAAAAATTGCATAGCCGCATAGGTATCGTACATGATCATTTGCACAGATCAAATCCAAATATTTCAAAATAAAAATGATCGGTAGCATATTTTCTCGGGGGTAACGGAAAATCCCGTTTTGACTCGTTTCCGAAAAATTCGTCCGAGAAAAATACCTAGTTACAGTACATCAATTCTATTTGATGGTATATGGCGGTGCATATGCGCCACCAAAGTTTGTTTGTCCCGCTGGCTGGCAACACGTTCACTATCCATTGAGGTTCTGTGTTCGATCCTTATTAGTAGCCTCTATTATTTTTTGATTTCCGGTAACCCGCTACAGGACACACTCACTAATGGGCCGGCCCATGGCAGACTTTCTCTGGATTGTCTTTAATTTTAAGCGCGACCAACATACTTTTAAGAAAGATTATCCTACCCTTTATTATGAAGGGGTATCAACAGATCTCATCTGTTGATGTGTTTAGAGGGTGTACATGATACATTCACTAATGGGCCAGCCCATGGCGGACTTTCTCTGGGTTGTCTTTAATTTTAAGCGCGACCGACGTACTTCTAAGAAATACTATCCTACCCTTTATTATGAAGGGATATCGACAAATCTCATCCGTTGATGTGTTTAGAGAGTATTGTATGGAAGCGGAAGTGAAATAACAAATATTTCTTAAAAAAAGCTAAAAAAGGCAATCGCTTTTTTGTAGAAAAAACTCACTGAAAAGAACAGGAAAATGGAAGTATCTCAAAGCTATCAGAGTCAGGCCGGGTGAGCACTGACTGGAACAAGACTTTCTGTATAGGGTATCACGTCGAAGAAGAGCATACTGTTCCAAGCAGGCTCAAGTTCACGTGAGCCATGACTCCGGTATCTTAGCCAGCTGATGAAGTCACAAACATTTGTCAGCTTACGTGACCGCAGGTCGTAGCTGCAGAGCTTGCCATAGAACCATAGCAACAATGTGCCCGGAAGAAAAGTGATTGGGTGGCACGGGTCCATGCCATTCAATGTTATGGCCCCGCTAACACTTCACTCGAATTCACCAAGAGATACAAGATTTGACTAGCAGAAGTAGGGTTCTAGGGAAGGAAATGGGGATAAGGGGAAGTGCCG